TGTACCCTAGAACTTAAAGTATAATAATTAAAAAAAGAATATCTGTCATTTGATATATTTTTCCTCCAATTAAAAGACCTCTAATAGTAGTTTAGGGACTTCATTATTAGTTTTAAAGATGTAGAAAACTATTTCTCACTTACCTGGGCAAAATAAATGGCCATCTATAGCTCTTTTCAGGTCTTCTTTTCAGGAAAGGGTCAAGTCTTGTGCTCTTTAACCTCTTCCCTGATGTGCCTATATGAAGAGTGGGGAGGCCTGGCTTGGCAGCAGTTCATGTGAAAAATAACAACGCACCTTAAATGATCATAATTTTTGTGTGAGGCAGCATTGTGTTATGGTGGTCATAAATGCTAATACAGACTTAGGCTTTATCAATGAAAGATGTGAGAATATGGTTTTCTTACTGCACCTTATGCATCTAGATCATGTCTAGGACACTGTATTCACTTTGAGGGACTGAGACTGAAGCTGGGCATTGACAATATAGGATACAGATGACTGGGACAGCAGTAGGTCAGGAAGTCTGTCATTCATTAAATATTTGAAAGGACTGAGGGTGTTTTGCTTAGGAGGAATCCAAGGTACATTAGTCCATTTTTGTGCTGCTGATAAAGACATACATGAGATTGGGCAATTCACAAAAGAAGGAGGTTTAATGGACTTGCAGTTCCACATGGGTGGGAAGGCCTCACAATCATGGCAGAAGGCAAGGAGGAGCAAGTCACATCTTACATGGATGGTAGCAAGCCAGAACAAGAGAGCTTGTGCAGGGAAACTCCTTCTAATAAAACCATCAGGTCTCGTGAGACTTATTCACTGTTATGAGAACAGCACAGAAAAGACCTGCCCCCATGATTCAGTTACCTCCCACTGGGGCCCTCCCATAACACGTGGGAATTCAAGGTGAGATTTCGGTAGAGACACAGCCAAACTGTATCATTCCACCTCTGGCCCCTCCCAAATCTCATATCCTCACATTTCAAAACCAATCATGCCTTCCCTACCATCCCCCAAAGTATTAACTCATTTCAACATTAACTCAAAAGTCCACAGTCCAAAGTCTCATAGGAGACAAGGCAAGTCCCTTCTGCCTATGAGCCTGTAAAATCAAAAGCAAGTTAGTTACTTAGATACAATTGGGTAAATACACTCATTTCAAATGGGAGAAATTGGCCAAAACAAAGGGACTACAGGCCCCATGCAAATTTGAAATCCAGTGGGGCAGTCAAATCTTAAAGCTCAAAAAATGATCTCCTTTGACTCCATGCCTCACATCTAGCTTACAATGATACAAAAGATGGGTTCCCATGGTCTTGGGCAGCTCTGCCCGTGTGGCTTTACAGGGTACAGCCTCCCTCCTGGCTGCTTTCATGGACTGGCATTGAGTTTCTGCAGATTTTTCCAGGTGCGCAGTGCAAGCTGTTGGTGGATCTACCGTTCTAGGATCTGGAGGATGGTGACCCTCTTCTCACAGCTCCACTAGGTGGTGCCCGAGTAGGGACTTTATGTGGGTGATCTGACCCCACATTTTCCTTCTGCACTGCCCTAGCGGAGGTTCTCTATGAGGGCCCCACCCCCACAGCAAACTTCTGCCTGGGCACCCAGGTGTTTCTATGCATCTTCTGAAATCTAGGCGGAGGATACCAAACCTCGATTCTTGACTTCTGTGCACATATAGGCTCAACACCACGTGGAAGCTACCAAGGCTTGGGGCTTCCACCCTCTGAAGCAACAGCCCAAGCTATACCTTGGCCCCTTTTAGTCATGACTCAAGCGACTGGGACACAGGGCACCAAGTCCCTACACTGCACACAGCAGAGGTACCCTGGGCCTGGCACATGAAACCATTTTTTCCTCCTAAACCTCTGGGCCTTTGATGGGAGGGGCTGCTGCAAAGGTCTCTGACATGCCCTGGAGACATTTTCCCCATGGCCTTGGGGATTAACATTAGGCTCCTCATTACTTATGTAAGTTTCTATAGCTGGCTTGAATTTCTCCTCAGAAAATGGGATTTTTCTTTTCTATCACATTGTCAGGCTGCAAATTTTCCAAACTTTTATGCTCTGTTTGCTTTCTAAAACTGAATGCCTTTAACAGCACCCAAGTCAGCTCTTGAATGATATGCTGCTCAGAAATTTCTTCTGTGAGATATTCTAAATTATCTTGCTCAAGTTCAAAGTTCTGCACACCTCTAGGGCAGGGGTAAAATGCCATCATTCTCTTTGCTAAAACATAACAAGAGTCACCTTTGCCCTAGTTCGCAACAAGTTCCTCATCTCCATCTGAGACCACCTCAGCCTGGATTTCATTGTCCATAACATTATCAGCATTTTGATCAAAGCTGTTCAACAAGTGTCTGGGGAGTTCCAAACTTTCCCACATTCTCCTGCCTTCTTCTGAGCCCTCTAAACTGTTCCAACCTCTGCCTGTTACCCAGTTCCAAAGTTGCTTCCACATTTTTGGGTATCTTTTCAACAGCACCCTACTCCCGGTACCAGTTTACTATATTAGTCCATTTTCATGCTGCTGATAAAGACATACCTGAGACTGGGCAATTTATATAAGAAGGAGGTTTAATGGACTTACAGTTTCACATGGCTGGGAAGGTCTCACATTCATGGCGGAAGGCAAGGAGGAGCAAGTCACATCTTACGTGGATGGTGGCAGGCAAAAAAAGGAGAGCTTGTGCAGGAAAACTCCTTCTTATAAAATCATCAGGTCTTGTGAAACTTATTCACTATCATGAGACCAGCATGGGAAAAGATCTGCCCCCATGATTCGATTACCTTCCAGCAGGTCCCTTCTACAACACATGGGAATCAAGATCAGATTTGAGTGGGAACACAGCCAAACCATATCACTAGGATAGCTGACAGGAATCTGCAAATGAAAGAGGTTGTAGATTCATTATGGTTCCAGATGGCACAACTACAGACCTTGGAAAACAATGAGATGGAGTTTCTCTTTGGGTGTATATATACCCAAGAGATTATATATATACACACACACACATAATTTATTTATCTTTGGCTTAATATGAATACATTATATATTACATAATATATATTAAGACTGAATATATTAATATATGAATATATATATGGCAAATCCTCAAATAATGTCATTTTTTTCAGTATCATTTTGTTACCACTTTAATGAGAAAAAAAAATCAATTCCCAGCTGGGGCTGTTGTCACTGTGGGGTCTGCACATTCTCACCATGCCTGCATGGGTTTTCTCTGGATTCTCTGCTTTCCTCTCATACCTCAAATACGTTCATGTTAAGTGAATTGGTGTGTCTACGTGGTCCCAGTCTGAGTGAGTGTGGGTGTCTGGGAGTGCACACTGCAATGAGATGGTGTCCTGTCCGGATCTGATTCCTGCCTTGGGTAAATAATTATCATATTTGATCTTATTAATCTTTCCTAACTGTATGTATAGCTCACATTTATTTCAATGTTTACTATTAGAAATGTTTTGGTTTTTATTTAGAAGTTTGGGGATACTTTTGTGGCCAGAAATATGCTGTAGGAACTTAACTCTTGTTTATATCAATTAGCCTAGAGTAAAATTGGTTTCATTATATCTTGTTTCACTTAAAGTTGCACTTTCTAAAAATTTGCACTTTCTAAGAACTTACGGATAAGTGAGGACTTACTGTATATGAATGAATATATTACTATATGAATATATATGCATACATACACAATATACACATACTTGCACACACATGCACACACACATGTGTGTGTGTGTCTGTGTATACATATATGTAGTCTAGTAATGAATTAGACCTTAGAAGGGTCACTGAAGGTATTTAAGCTGAGGCTGGATGGATCTCTTCCAAGAGATAGTATAAACTGCATTTCTTTTTGGATTCATTCATTCATTAATTCATTCACTTCTTATGGAGCCTTTTCTATGTGCCACGCACTGCTCCTAGTACTGTGGAGACAGATAAATACTGGGCAAGAAGTTGGATTAAAAAACTTTAAAGACCTCATTATATCTGTGGTCAAAAGAAGTTGCTTGATGCTTTGGTGTCCTTTACCCTAAGTGTAGAGCTCTGCTTGTGTATTACCCACTCTGTGTTTTAGATGCTCCTGTGTGTTCCCATCACATGTCTTCTGTGATGTAGAGTAGTACTTTATATCATTCTCTGAGTGGCTGTAGGCTTTAACATCGTGTGTATGACAATATTTTACCTCCCTACCTTTTTTGTTTTGCTTGCGACAAAGTCTTGCTCTGTCACCCAGGCTGGAGTGCAGTGGCACGATCTTAGCTCATGGCAATCTCCTCCTCCTGGGTTCAAGCGATTCTCCTGCCTCAGCCTCCTGAGTAGCTGGGATTACAGGCACCTGCCATTGTGCCTGGCTAATTTTTGTATTTTTAGTAGAGATGGGGTTTTGCTATGTTGGCTAGGCTGGTCTTGAACTCCTGACCTCAAGTGATCTGCCCATCTTGGCCTTCCAAAGTGCTGGGATTACAGGCATGAGCCACCGTGCCCAGTTATCTCCCTACCTTTGAACAAAGAGGTTAAAGTTGAATGTGAAGTCAGCTTTTGATAGAAAAATGTTGATTTTTCATGGGAGACATTTAATTCCAGGCTAGGTGAATAGGTTTTTAAAGATTCAATATTTACCAGAAAGTATGAGAGAACACAATGCTTTTTAAATGTAAAGTGATATTATTTATTAACATTATTGGAAGTTCACTGCACTGCAAGCGTATATGGAAGAGTCTGGCTCCAAAGTTATGCTTTTATTTTTCTGAGGAAAGTTATAGTTTCTCCACACTAAGATACCGAATCTTCAACTTCAATATTTGTAAATTGACTATATATCTGGACTACTTCTGTTTCATTCTGTAGAGATCAGATAGTATCAGAAAAAAGCAGAGGTGCAAAGAACAAAGTGTGCAGATTTAGAGGTGATATTGGGGTCTCTGTACATTATGTCCTGTCAAGTAAAGCCAGCTGTTCATTTGTTTCATGTCTAGGTTTGGAATTCACCCAGTTGCAGGCCGCATGCCTGGTCAGCTTAATGTGCTGCTGGCTGAGGCTGGAGTGCCATATGATATTGTGTTGGAAATGGATGAGATCAACCATGATTTTCCAGGTAAGTGATGGGGGCAATGGTGAAGTTTAAATATTCTTACTATGAATAAAGCAGTGCAGATTTGGGATATAAATTGTAGATTAAGTGAAGACTGACTAGTCAGATGAAAAAGAACTTATACCTGGTAGACATTCAGTTGAAATTAAATGAGTGAAAGATAGTATTGAATAAGATACAAAAGATTCATAAACAGCACAGGTAAGTTTTTCTCCCCTGTGAAGAACTGAAGGATGGTGAAAACCTTGGGGTGTAGTGTAGAAATACTGAAGACTGGGGATCTGGGCAGACCTGGCTTTTGAATCCAGATCCTGATTCTCAGTAGCTTGTTACTCAACCTCAGGCTCTTCATTTATGAGTGCTTCTGTTGATAATTTAGTGTCTGATTCTTGCCAGTCTCTGAGATTTTACTGATTTCCGATTGTACTAATGTATGACTGGTGAAGTAGTTTTCTCTTTCTTTTCTTTTTAAAAAGTACTAGAATTTCCCTAGATAAAGTGCTGTACTTTATAGCTGTCATAGGGTAGATGTTGAATGGTAATGACATTTGGCCCAAGCCTATGCTTGTTAAAATTAAACCATTTCCCCCTGGCAAATATCCACTGTAAACTTAAAAAATGCTGTTTATTAGAAAAAGTAATGAAATTATGTGTATGTCTAGATTCACATGGCATTTTTTGGCAACATTCTAAGGTAGTTTATATTGCAGTTCTTAAAGAGAAAACTTAGGCCATTTTAATTTTATGTCCCTTTTCAGATTCCATTGTTGTTAAATTATGTGTAACACCAGCCAGTTCCAGGAATTATGGACATGACTTAATGCAGATTTTGAGACCATTGTCTATTAGACATCAGACTGTATCTCAAGGGGTTATCTTATTTTATTTTTATGTATCTTTTTTTAACTTTTATTGTAGATTCAGGGGTACATGTGCAGGTTTGTTACATGGTTATATTGTGGGATGCTGAGGGTTAGATGTAGTGAGCATAGTACCCCACAATTTTTCAACCCTTGCCCATGTCCCTCCCACCCCATTCTGGTAGTCTCCAGGTTCTATTGTCACCATATTTATGTCCCTGAGTACCCAGTGTTTAGCTCTCACTTATAAGTGAGAATGTGCGGTATTTGGTTTTCTGTTCCTGTGTTAATTTGCTTAGGATAATGACCTCCAGCTGTTTCCATGTTGCTGGAAAGGACATGATTTCCATCTTTTTTATGGCTGTGTAGTGTTCCATGGTGTATATGTACCACATTTTCTTTATCCAGTGCACTGTTGATTGACACCTAGGTTGATTCTATGTCTTTGCTATTGTGAATAGTGCTGCAATGAACATGCTAGTGAATGTGTCTTTTGGTAGAAAGATTTGTTTTCTTTTGGATATGTATGCAGTAGTGGGATTGCTGGGTCATGTAGGAGTTCTGAGTTCTTTGAGAAATCTCCAAATTGCTTTCCACAGTGGCTGAACTAATTTACATTTCCACAAACAGTGTGTAAATGTTCCTTTTTCTCCACAGCCTTGCCAGCATCTGTTATTTTTTTTACTTTTGTTAATAGCCGTTCTCACTGGTGTGAAATAGTAATTTCACTGTGGTTTTGCTTTGCATTTCTTTTATGTTTAGTGATGTTGAACATTTCTTCATGTTTGTTGACCACTTGTATGTCTTCTTTTGAGAAATGTCTGTTCATGTCTTTTGCCCATTTTTAAAATGTGTTTTTTTTGCTTGTTGAGTTAAGTTCCTTATAGATTCTGGACATTAGACCTCTGTCCAATGCATGCATAATTTGTGAATATTTTCTCTCATTCTGTAGCTTGTCTGTTTACCCTCTTGTTAGTTTCTTTTGCTAGGCAGAAGCTCTTTAGTTTAATTAGGTCTCACTTGTCAATTATTGCATTGTTGCAATTGCTTCTGAGGACTTAGTCATACATTTTTCCCAAGGCTGATGTTCAGAATGGTGTTTCCTAGGTTTTCTTCTTCGATTCTTATAGTTTGAGGTTTAAGTGGTCATTTTAAAGGTTGAAAGTGGAATGCGGCTGGGCGCGGTGGCTCAAGCCTGTAATCCCAGCACTTTGGGAGGCCGAGACGGGCGGATCACGAGGTCAGGAGATCGAGACCATCCTGGCTAACACGGTGAAACACCGTCTCTACTAAAAAAATACAAAAAGCTAGCCGGGCGAAGTGGCGGGCGCCTGTAGTCCCAGCTGCTCGGGAGGCTGAGGCAGGAGAATGGCGGGAACCCGGGAGGCGGAGCTTGCAGTGAGCTGAGATCCGGCCACTGCACTCCAGCCTGGGCAACAGAGCGAGACTCTGTCTCAAAAAAAAAAAAAAAAAAATTAAACTCTATTAGAAAGTGGAATGCAAATTTCATAAAATCATGTGACACTATAGCAAGATCACTTTGAGATCAAAAAAAGGTTATAAAGTCAGATTAGTTAGGTTTATTGAGAGGGGAGAAGCATAATAATGCAGGCTGTAGTCAAGATAGTCAAGTTCAAATGCAAAAGCTACTGCTTTTTAGCTGTGTGACATTGGCTGAGTTGCTTCACCTCTCTGATAAAGTTCCTTGTAAAGTGCCTGGCACAAGTGTGAATCCTATATTTTTGTTATTGTTATTATAAAGTAAAGATCACTATAATTTGTCTGAAAATATGTAAAAGTGACCCTTTGAGTTTTGTATTCTTTCTTTTTTCTTTTATTATATAGATACTGATTTGGTCCTTGTAATTGGAGCTAATGACACTGTTAATTCAGCAGCTCAAGAAGATCCCAACTCTATTATTGCAGGCATGCCAGTCCTTGAGGTCTGGAAATCAAAGCAGGTAAAGTTTCAGTCTTGTATTTCATTCTGATAATCAAAGGTTACTTAAAATATACACGCAGAACTTTCTTTGATCATTTGATAAGAAATGATGATGCCTTCTAGGAGGTCCAGGAGTAAGAGCGTGTTTAGGGCCCAGTTTCCTATGTCCAGCTTCTGTCTGTTCTCTGGCCACCAGAGAAACTGAGTGAATGCCCTAATCACAAGTAGAACCAGATGAGATTATGTGAGTGGATTAACAAAATCTGTAACCACAGCTGAAAAAAGAGCTGTGAGCTTTTGTAATGAGTCTGGCTAAATTCCAGATTGAGTCCTGTGAAGCAGATGGCTTCCCTCTGGGACAGTGAGTCAGTATCAATCGCCATCATATACCAAGATGAGCATATTTTTTTCATTTAACTTTCTGAAAGGGAATTTATAAGTTGTTATAGAGTGTCTAGCAGGAAGGTGATTTAGAAATCCAAACAATAACGTGGCATAAGGAAGCAAGCTTCATTCATGTATATTACTTCTGAAAAAGCTAATTGCTAGATTTTAGATAACTCAAAGGCTTGTAAATTTTCCTCTACCTCAGCAGTAGGCACATTTTACCACTACTGAGGCTCCTCTGCATTTAAAAAATCATAATAATGTACATTTCCATTTAATTTTGTTTCTTTTTGTTGTAAATATGGGAGTTTAAAACTTAGTATTTGTGATGAGTGAGTAGACATAAAATATACTTGTTCATGTGTGTATGAAAAATTGTATCAGTAGTCAATATTTGAGAATTTGTGAAGTGCATTACTATACTAATGCTATAAGAAAAAGAATACATTTGCACTGCTTCTATTTTTTGATAGATTGCCTGTCCTAGTAGACCACAGAAAAGCTTTTCATTTCATTAAGAACTGACTTGATATTCAGCAGGACAGCAACATCCATAACTCATGTCATTGTAAATGTCTATAACTTGTCAATATTATACATTGACTTACATCTTCCATTTTGATTTATAAGAACATTCTGTTAGTTAGTAGCTCTGTTATTGTGAGAAGCTGGGTTGCTCTTTGGGCTTTTATCCTAGAACTTTCTGATATACTTTAAAGTCATAGAAAAGAATAACATAGTTTTCCCACTCAACCTCATCTGTTTTAGAATTTGTAGTGGAAACTTATGCACTAAACTTGTTTTCTTTAGCACATTCATAGAAAAATGCTTATTTTGCTGACTAGAAAATGGTGTACATGGTCTTTATAGAGAAAAAAGCACTAAGAAGAAAATAATTGTAATCTTGTCACTCAGAGATAAATTATTAACATGACTTTTTCTCTAATGGATATAAGAATAAGGGCACACTTAAGTATTAAAGTTAATACAATGTAAACATATGTTAAAAATACTTCTTGTGTAAAGTCCCTGCACTAAATAATTAGTAGTGGTACATGCCTTGTTCAAAGGTAGTGAAGAACAATGTTTGTGTGCCTAACATGTCCTAGACAGGTCTGTTAAATACACTATGTCATTTTATCTCTGGTTCTCAGGTGATTGTTATGAAGAGGTCTTTGGGTGTTGGCTATGCTGCAGTGGACAATCCAATCTTCTACAAACCTAACACGGCCATGCTTCTAGGTGATGCTAAGAAAACATGTGACGCGCTCCAGGCGAAAGTTAGAGAATCCTATCAGAAGTAAATATTAAGGATCAAGCTGTTGGCTAATAAAGCCACCTCTGCAGTTGTGGGAACAGGAAAATAAAGTATCAGTATACATGGTGATGTACATCTGTAGCAAAGCTCTTGGAAGAAAAGGAAGACTGAAGAAAGCAAAGTAAATACTGTATAGAGAGATTTTTCAAAAGCAGTGATCCCTCAATTTTAAAAAAGGATTGAAAATTCTAAATGTCTTTCTGTGCATATTTTTTGTGTTAGGAATCAAAAGTATTTTATAAAAGGAGAAAGAACAGCCTCATTTTAGATGTAATCCTGTTGGATTTTTTATGCCTCCTCAGTAACCAGAAATGTTTTAAGAAACTAAGTGTTTAGGATTTCAGGACTTAACATTATACACGGCTCTGAAATATCTGACACAATGTAAACATTGCAGGCACCTGCATTTTGTGTTTTTTTTTTCCAACAAATGTGACTAATTTGAAACTTTTATGAACTTCTGAGCTGTCCCCTTGCAATTTAACCACAGTTTGAATTAATCATATCAAATCTGTTTTAATTTTTTAAACTGTACCTCAGAGTCTATATTTCAAGGGCATATTTTCTCACTACTATTTTAATACATTAAAGGACTAAATAATCTTTCAGAGATGCTGGAAACAAATCATTTGCTTTATATGTTTCATTAGAACACCAATGAAACATACAACTTGAAAATTAGTAATAGTTGTATTTTAGAAAATCCCATTTCTAATTGGAGATCTCTTTAATTTCAATCAACTTATAATGTGTAGTACTGTATTAAGTGCACTTGAGTGGAATTCAACATTTGACTAATAAAATGAGTTCATCGTGTTGGCAAGTGATGTAGCAATTATCTCTGGTGACAAAAGAGTAAAATCTAATATTTCTGCCTGTTACAAATATCAAAGGAAGACCCGCTACTATGAAATAGATGACATTAATCTGTCTTCACTGTTTATAATAGGGATGGATTTTCTTTCAAATCAGTGTATGTTTTGAGGTCTTATGTAATTGATGACATTTGAGAGAAATGGTGGCTTTTTTTTGCTACCTCTTTGTTCATCTAAGCACCAGTAAAGATCATGTCTTTTTATACAAGTCTAGATTTTCTTTGTGACTTTGCTACTGTGCCTAAAGCTCTAAATATAGGTGAATGTGTGATGAATACTCAGATTATTTGTCTCTCTATGTAATTAATTTGATACTAAGTTTCTCAAAAAATTATTAACACATGAAAGACAATCTCTAAACCAGAAAAAGAAGTAGTACAAATTTTGTTACTGTAATGCTAGTGTTTAGTGAGTTTAAAACACACAGTATCTTTTGGTTTTATAATCAGTTTCTATTTGGCTGTGCCTGAGATTAAGATCTGTGTGTGTGTGTGTGTGTGTGTGTGTGTGTGTGTGTGTGGTAAAGCAGAAGAGACTTTTTTTAAAGTTTTAAGTGATAAATGCAATTTGTTAATTGATCTTAGGTCACTAGTAAACTCAGGGCTTAATTATCATGAATATTCCATTAGAAGAAAGTAAACACCATCTTTATTCCTGCCCTTTTCCTTCTCTCAAAGTAGTCATAGCTATATCTAGAAAGAAGCAATTTTGATTTCTTGAAAAGGTAGTTCCTACACTCAGTTTAAACTAAAAATAATCATACTTGGATTTATTAATTTATTTTTGTCATAGTAACATTTTTAATTTATATATATTTTTACTTAGTATGATCTTACTCTTTGCTATTTGCCAATCCTTTGTCATCAATTGTGTTAAGTGAATTGAAAATTCATGCTCTGTTCATTTTATTTTACTTTATTGGTTAGGATATTTAAAGGATTTTTGTATATGTAATTTCTTAAATTAATATTCCAAAAGGTTAGTAGACTTAGATTATAAATTATGGCAAAAATCTAAAAAAAACAAAAATGATTTTTTATACATTCTGTTTCATTATTCCTCTTTTTCCAAGAAGTCATACAATTGGTAGATATGACTTGTTTTATTTTTGTATTATTCACTATATCTTTTTGATATTTAAGTATAAATAATTTTAAAAAATTTATCGTACCTTATAGTCTGTCACCAAAAAAAAAAAAAAAAATTATCCATAGGTAGTGAAATGCTAATGTTGATTTGTCTTTTAGGGCTTACTAACTATCCTTTATTTTCTCATTTGTCTTAAATTAGGAGTTTGTTTTTAAATTACTCATTTAAGCAAAAAATGTGTATAAGTAAATGTATAATTTTTACACATTATATATGTTTATATTGCTACCCATGTATCTTTCTGGACAGTTTTCTAACATGTAGACTCTCATTTTATATTCTCTTTTTTTCTAGGAATTAGAATAGAGAGGACTAATAGAGACTAATAATGTCTTCATGCAGTAGGCTTTTAGCCCTTTACTGAGTCAGGAAATATCAGTTAAGTATTTGGTAATGAATTTGGAAAGGGAACCGTGGCCTTTCTGATTCTACCCAAGTCATGACCCTAACTTTTAGATTTTGCCATATTCTTGCATCCAATATAAATATAAAATATATTATTTATCAGTAAACTTTAAGGTTTCATACAATTTATCTGATCCCAAAGCTTTATTCTTTAAAAGTAGTAACTTGTGACTCATATGTTCATCTAACCGAGGGACAAATTTTCTAGTCCCTGAGGCATAAATCTTGTGACTTAAAGCATTCAAGTACTGGAAAGCTCTTTTGTGTAACTAGGAAGAATAGTCCAAGTATCTAATTTATAGTTCACCAGTTTTTGAGAGCATTTGCCAACAAATGTTATTCGGTGAGAATAGTAAACAACAACAACAAAAACCCAAAACCCTTCCCTTCAGTGGCAGCAACTTGCATAATCCAGCTGTTCTTTAGATTCTCAAAGGAAAGAAGAATTAGGCTAATTAACAAGGAGGAAAAGAATTTTTCTAAGTGAAACTTTTAAAGTATTGTTTAGTAAAGTAGCAGAAATGGTCACATTTGGATTTCAAAGCACTCAGAGTTCTTAAACTTTTGTCTCTTAGAAGTTACATATTAGGCTGAGGAATTGAACTTTTTTTTATTATTTAAGTGAATTAGAGGTATTTAGCATGGCATATGTTGTAATTCTGAATGGAATCTTTTGGATGTTGGCAACAAAATGATGTATATGATGAGAACAGTAATTAGAGCAACCAATATTTGAAACTCCTATATATAATGATTAAGATAGTGGTAGAAAAAAATGGACCATAGAAGATAATTTATTTGGGGAAATAGTAGGGAATCCTAACGGAATGGTAGACAAAGCTAAGAACTTTAAAAGTTGAAACCCTAAATAGTGGGGAGATATTACATCACTGTCATGTTGATTGTGAATGCATATGACTGCCTCATCATTCTATGGAAAATATTTGTACTTCATGTTTTGCCAAAGATTACTGCCTTGAGCTCTGCCTTCCAGTTCTTGCCAAAAGCATATTTATGAAGGATAACACTAGTGTAAAAATTGCCTAAAAGATATAGAGTCCAGTTTGTCCCTAGATATTTCATATTTTATCCATAGACAAAAGCAGCTCTTCAGGGATCTGGACAGTTAGGCCACATTGTTTGGGTCACTGTGAAAAACAGACATAAAGACATTGGAATGAAGAGAGTCAAAGTGATCTTGCTTGCCTAAGGTGACTGTGAATTCAGAGGGGAGTCCACGTGGCAGCAATAGGATAGTGTCAAAAAGAAGTGGTTGTTATGGACTTTGAGAAGAATTGAGGAAGGGGATGTGGATTTGGGGGAATGTAGGTGACACTTAGGATGATAGTGGCTAGTTCTTTCCCCCCATGGAGACAAGTGAAAAGGAAGTGGGAGCCCAGAGCAAGGAAGTGGGGGATGCTTAAGTTTCCCCTATGTAAAGATGGAATATGAAGATCTAATAAACTTTTTGTCATCCTCCTTCCTGTTGCATTTGGGAATATGAAAAAATACAACGTATCAGTGTGATATGATGTAGGGAATAATAAAAACCTTTGGAAAAGGACCATTTAGAAATTGAAATAACGCCATTTTTATTCTATTACTTCATTTTTGGTTTACTATGGGAAAAGCAGAACTCAGGAATGTCTACAGTCAGGGATAGAATTAGACTCCACTAGTGAAGTTTTGCACTTCATATTTTGCCGGTGATTACCACCTTGTGTTATGCTTTTCAGTGTCTTTCTGGAACTGATTTTTTAAAAGCCAGTGAGTTATTATCAGTCAGACTTGTCTTTTTTTTTTTCCCTCCCAGTTAGGGGGTGCACTTTTCACAAAAATGCAGTGATTAACGCTAATGGAGCAGGGTCCTGTGCCTGGCTAATTCTCTTTAGACTTTGTGATTCTAGTCCGCAGTTAGACACATGGAGGCAGCAGCATCAGTGGGTTAGAACTGAAAGGTCATATCTAAAACTCTCCAGAGAAAAGGGAGAATGTGAGACTAAATAACCCCTTTGTGCTATGACAGGAGGGAGATAATTTCTTCCCCAGAGGGATGAAGCAGAATTTCATCCCTTATCTTTAGGATGATTTGTCACTAGTCTGAGTTTAATGGAACACAGTGCTTCAGAAATCATTTCTTCTAGAAAGAGCCTTTTAAAGCTTTACTGACTCATGGAAAATTTTGAGTCCTTAAATTATAGCTAACTCTCTGGTTTTGTCCCATTAGGATATATATGGGCATGGAAGCTTACACATAGTTCAGGTCCACATCCTTGTGTCTGATTGGGAGTAACTGCCCCATGAGCGCTGGGTACAGTTATAGTAACTAGGAAGTGTGTGTTTTTAAGGATTAGAATCACCATTGTAAATGAGACCAACAGAACATTCAAAGACTATAACACAAAAATCGTATGGGGATACTGTATGTGTAAGGATTTCAGAATATCTGTCCTGGCTTCAGTCCTCGTTGTAATGCGTCTTTCCCAGAATACTGTTTTATACATGCTGCTCCAAAGGGTGGATTTTAGTGATGAACTTAGTATGAATATTTAGATGGTGGCATTGTTATGAAAGTTGTTACTGTTTTCTACAAAATGAATCAATTTTGGTTATGATTAGATTTCTAGAGTGTATTGCCTCTTGATAAATTAAGCACAAAGGCATATATATAAATATGTATAAACACACATATATATTATGTAAATAAATATACATATATAACCATGCCAGGTGGAGGAAGAGGAATGTATACTATATATGTTTCTCATTGACTTCTGTTCAAGACTCATTATCTGGAATTTTATTCTGGCTCAATTTTTTTTCTTTTTTTTAAGGTTATAGATAGAAAGACCTTGTTCCTTTATTTAAAGTGTTCATTGGGTGGATAATAGTAATAGCATCTACTAGTTAATGAGCACTCATTTTGTGCTAGGCAACATTCTATTAACATCCTATGGGTTTCAGTGCATCCTACAGTAGAAAATGGCAGAGTTGGACTTAAACTGAAATCTGGCTGATGGTGAGGTCCACTTAGCCATTCAATTGACTTCTGTTAAAAATAAAGGAAAGCATGTAAGTCATAAAAGGGAAAAAAAGCAGTTAAACTTCATCAATAAGATGCCATTTATTTATAAAATGACAAGAAAAGATGTTTCCAATTTCATAGAGAAAATAAGAGCATAATTATATGCCATTTTTACATAGAATTATGAAAGTTGGTTATATAGTCATAATTTGCATTTCCACCCATTCTCTCTGTAAGCAGCTATTGCCATTTTTTTCTCATACACAAAAGCCTGTATCTGAGAATACATCTTCCTTAGGAGCAGAAAAAAGGCAGCTTTGGAGCAGATTCTCCACCTTTCTGGGTTTTGCTTTCCAGAACAGTACCGGCTCTGCCTCCTTGCTTGCTTTGATCTCTTGCACCTTCCTACTTCACAGCTGGTTAGACAAAAGCTTTTTGCTGAGGATTTTCATTTCTCAAAGGCCACAAACTCGATGTGCCAAAATATGACTTCGTTTTCCTATAACTGAAATGAATACCTCTCCTGAGCCTCTATATTCTCTGTTGATGTAAATTTCACCTTAATTCAGCATGTTTCCTTCTCGTTCTCCTACTGCTGGGGACACATCTTCATTCAAAGGCAAAGTGGGTGGGCACCAAGGTAAATGACGTAATGTCACAGTTTTGTGTACTGAGTTGTGTCCTGGTCTTCATCCATCCTGTCTGGCATCCCTTAGAAGCACATTGTCATAGCTAGTCTTGGTTACTGATAGCTTTGTACACTGACATTCTCTACTTCTTCTTTGGTCTAAATGAAATAGAAGTTACAAGATGTTTAAAGCAGCGTGGAATGGGAAGGAAGAAATGCATGAGGTAGAGGGTATGATAATCTCAACAGATTCTGGCAAATTTCTCCTATGACTACAACTTATATTTGGGGTGAAATTTTAAAAAGCCTGTGTAGGAGAATGGAATATTAGTGCTATTTTCACAAGGAAAATAGTAGGTATTCTATTTAAATAATTTATGATGGAATTGATCTAAGCAAAAAAAAAAAAAAAAAAAGTTGAGGTGCCATTTAATTCATCTCCTGAGACTAACTCAATTGCTTCACAAATCTTTACTTTGAGAAATTTAGCGAGACAGTGAATTGTTTGGGGGAAGGAATAAAAAGTACTGCCCTAGGATGAATGAAAAGTACACTGTCATCTAATTCCTATTAGTTTTTTTTCCAGCAATGCTTTGGTGTTAAATGTATAGCCAAACGTTGAAAGGAACCATTCATTCATAGTTGGAACACATCTGAAACAAACACAGAAAGGTCAAAACACAGC